GTCAGGGTGGTCTCGAACTCCCGACCTCAGGTGATCCACCCGCCCGGGCCTCCCAAAGTGCTGGGATTACAGGTGTGAACCATGGCACCCGGCCAGGATTGGTCTTATTAATTCACATTTGGTAGCTTCTTGGTACATGTCTCTAAATAAATGAATGAAGGGATGAATGAAAGAATAAGATAGGTGAGAATAGGATTTTATAATCTTGCTAGGCATAATCCTTTACAATGGTGGTGGTGATCCTAGATAATCTTGAGTGGCTCTTTCCAGCCTGCTTACACCATAGTTGTCTCCCTGAAAAGGGACCAGATGAGTTGGGGGTGATCCTCATGGCTTCATGGAAATGCTCCATGGCGGCCTGGAGACAGACTTTCCCTCCCAACTGCAGCTCTCTGAACAGAGAATTATAGCTGAGACCCAAGCCACTAGGGGTATGGAGGATACAGCTGTGTATACGGGCTACCTAAGAGGCAGGAAATTAGTCACACAACAGGTGTCAATAAATATTCCTTGGTAATTTGCACTCAAGGCACTAGTGGGGGCTCGCAGGGTGGTTATAATATAGCTTAACAATAACCCGGGATTCATTCCACCAATCCCCAAGTCCTTTACCTCTACATAGATAACATGTTGCCTGCGATAGTGGAGTGAGTGGTGACCCCCTAAAAGATATGATAATTTCCTGGACAGACACAGTGTCTCACACCTGTAATCCCAGTGCTTCAGGAGTCTGTGGTGGGAGGATCACTTGAGTCCAAGAGTTCGAGACTAGTCTGGGCAACATAGTGAGACCTCGTCTCTATTAAAAATACAAAAGTTACCTGGGCGTGGTGGTGCATGCCTATAGTCCCAGCTACTCAGGAGGATGAGGTGAGAAGATCACTTAAGCCCTGGAAGGTTGAGGCTGCAGTGAACCATGATTGTGCCACTGCACTCCAGCCTGAGCAACAGAGCAAGACCCTGCCTTGAGAAAAAAAAAAACAAAATAAAACATATGCTCACTTCCTAATCCCTGGAACCTGTGAATGTTACCTTATGTGCAAAAACAGTCTTAGCAGAGGTAGTTACCAATTTTGAGATGAAGAGATCATTCTGGCTTATTAACGTAGGTCCTGATCCAATGACCCAGGTCCTTATAAGAGACACACAGAGGAGAAGGTGCGGCAAAGATGAGGCAAAGACTGGAGTGACGTGGCCACAAGTCAAGGAAGCTGGCAACTACCAGGAGCCAAAAGAAACATGGAATGGAGCCGCCCGTTGAGCCTTAGTGGGGAATGAGGTCCTGTTGACTCCTTGCTTTTAGACATCTGGCCTCCAGAACCGTGACAGAAGACGTTTCTGTTGTTTTCAGCCGCCCAGTTTGTGGTAATCTGTTACGGCAGCAGCCCTTGCAAACTCATACACCTGCCAACTCCAATGGCATCAGATTCTCCACCTGGGCAGCATTTCCGCACTCTATAGCAGCCTGGAGTGCCAGGCATCTCTTTGAGTCTCCCATTTGTTTCCACAAGGAAAACAAGCATTTGGAATCATCCTTGTTCTTCTCCTCTCCAGTACTTAAATTCAGGCCTTTGTGAGGGGATTCAGGCATGACTGGACAACAGGGGCCAAGGGGCTCCCCCAGAAAGATCCCTTGAGGGCATCAGAGAACGTAAGCCTAGTAGAACAAGGTGTGGCGCTGCAGCTAGGGTAGCTGGGCCCTCCTAGCTTCAACTCTGGGTCTCTTGGCATTTGTTAAAACAATGAGAATGGGCTGGGCATGCCGGCTCACGCCTATAATCCCAGCACTTTGGGAGGCTGAGGCAGGTGGATCACCTGAGGTCAGGAGTTTGAGACCAGCTTGGCCAACATGGTGAAACCCTGTCTCTACTAAAAAATACAAAAATTAGCTGAGCGCAGTGGCAGGCGCCTGTAATCCCTGCTACTTGGAAGGCTGAGGCAGGAGAATCATTTGAACTGGGGAGGTGGAGGTTGCAGTGAGCTGAGATTGCACCATTGCACTCCACCCTAGGAGACAGAGCAAGACTCTGTTTCAAAACAAAGAAACAAAGAAAAAACAAACAATGAGAATGAAAACGGTTCTTCTCCCTGCCCACCCTATCCCCACAGAGAGTGGTCCTTGCTAGGGAAGACCTAGAGAGCTGAGCACTACTGCGTGGAGGACTTCAGAGAGCCAAGAAGACAATACACAGAAATGCGAAGTCAATAAAGTCATTATTTATGAGTCCATTTAAACAGGCGGATCAAAGGCACCCTAGTGTGCTGGGAGTCAGAGGACCTTGTTTTTTTTGTTTTTTGTTTTTTTGTTTTTGCTTTTGTTTGTTTGTTTGTTTTGAGATGGAGTCTCGCTCTGTCTGGAGTGGAGTGCAGTGGCGCGATCTCGGCTCACTGCAAGTTCCGCCTCCTGGGTTCACGCTATTCTCCTGCCTCAGCCTCCTGAGTAGCTGGGACTACAGGTGCTTGCCATCACACTCGGCTAATTTTTTGCATTTTTAGTAGAGACAGGGTTTCACCATGTTAGCCAGAATGGTCTCGATCTCCTGACCTCGTGATCCGCCCACCTCAGCCTCCCAAAGTGCTGGGATTACAGGCGTGAGCCACCACGCCCACCCAGGACCTTGGTTTTAACTCTTGACTTGGCTACTAACTGACTTTAAGTACGACCATTGGTAAATTACGTATGTTCAATTTCCTCATCTTTAAAATGAAGGGGATGGAAGAAATTGCTATGGTTCTCTCTTGCTCTCAAAACTCCAAAGTCCCAAAAATGAATTTGGAAAAATCTTCCTGGTTTGCTTTAGGTATGGGCAGCAGTTTCACCCACAGACACAACTGGAGCCTTTCAGAAGTCTTTTAGCTGTGCAGAGGAGGGCTCGGCGTAAACCTGTGCCAGGCCTCACAAGCGCCAAGCCTTGAGCTGGCTGGCCTCCGCCGTGGCCTGGCCTGAGCTGGAGGAAGACTGGCCAGGCTGAGGGGCATGTTGTCTCCCTGAGAGCCCACACAGGCGCTGTGGGGGAAGCCAGAGTTTCTCCAGAGCAAGAGAAAGAACAGGGGTCACAGGATCCCACTCGATAGGGTAGGTTCAAATGTTAGAAGGTTGGTAATTACCTTCTAGACCCTGGGCACATTATTTAAGCGTCTCAAAGCCTCAGCATCCTTTCCTAGAAGACTGACATAATACGACTTTATGAAGATTAAAAGAAATGAATTTGTGCACAGCATCTATATATAGTAGGCATTCAACAAGTGGTAGTAATTACCATGACAACAAGCTTTAGGTCTCTCCCACACTGACATCGGTGTGGCTGCTCAGAAACGAATTTCCCATTATTCATCAAAACATCTCTAAAGCATGACAAGCCGGGAACCTGAGGCCTGGGAATATGCTTCAGATATGGAGGTTATGGTGGATGGCCCAGCACGGTGGGAAAAGTGTATGTTTAGCTCATGTGTTGGGAATGAACTATTGAAAGTCTAGGGTCTAGGCTCAGAGGAGGCCCAAAACCTGCTGCGGCACATTGTGAGATGCAAATGCTCTGTGACCTGTGGCGTGGGTGCCTGGATTGTGCAATAGCAGCCACAAGGCCCAGTGGCACTGCTTACTGGGTTGGGGCTGATGCATGTGGTTGGCTGCTGCTCTACAGTCCACCCTGGTGCATGCTTTGGCTGCCTCTGGGCAAGCAGGAGACACACTGGCTTTTCCGGGGGTGTAGAGAGTGTGTGGCCATAGGGGAAGGAATGAGCGGAGCTGCAGGTGGAGGTGTGCGTGGGAACAGAAGAGAGGTGTATGCGTGTGTGTATGGTCTATTCCTAGAGCTCTCTTTCTGTCAGAGAAGGTAGGAGGACTTGGGGTGGCTTTTGGTGAGCTTGACCAAAGGCATTCCCTTGGGACCTGGAGCCTATTTCAAATCAACTTCTCTAGCTGGAGCCTTTGGGGCAGGCCCCAGGCAGACACGTGCCCGCCATTAGATTGAGGTCTCCTGTGTGTTCTGCACCCTAGGGCTGCCAGGAGGTGGGGGAAGAACAGCACTTGTGGAGGAATCCCCAGCACAGGAAACCAGTTTTCTCTACCTTGTATTAGAGGAGCTTTAGAACGCCCACGCACCTTAGAACTTACCAATATTCTATCTTGCATGTTTTTATGTCATGTCATTTGGGTATATCTTGTTTCCCCAAATAGAAGAGAGCTCCTTTTAGGGCAGGAACTGCAACTTACATTTCCTGTACTCCCCACCTAGTTCTCAAATATCTTTATCTTGCTTTATCCTCCAGGGATGAACTACTCATTATCTCCCATGCACACCATGCTGTTTCTTGCACCAGTAGCTTTGCTCTTGTCACTCTCTCTGATTAGAATGCTCTTCCCAATTTTCTGCCCTTGGTTAGCTCTTACTCACCCCTCAAGATTCAACTCAGAAATTATTTTTAGCAGGAAGCCTTCCCTGAGCCCCAGGCTGATGTTCCTCCTCTGTGAGTGTAAGCTCTCATCCCTGCTCTGCAATAATCTGTTTAGGTGTTTGTCTCCCCTCTTAGACTGCAAGTTCTTCAAGGGTCAGCAAGCTGGTAGATATGTACCCTTTTAGATCCGCAGTGCCTGGCAGGCAGTAAGGACTCAGTGTGTGCTTACTGAATCTAACTAAAAAGCTAGTGCATGGGCCAGGCGTGGTGGCTCACACCTGTAATCCCAGCATTTTGGGAGGCCGAGGTGGGTGGATTACCTGAGGTCAGAAGTTCAAGACCAGCCTGACCAACAAGGTGAAACCTCGTCTCTACTAAAATACAAAATTAGCCGGGTGTGGTGGTGCATACCTGTAATCCCAGCTACTTGGGAGGCTGAGGCAGGAGAATCGCCTGAACCCGGGAGGAGGCTGCAGTGAGCTGAGACCATGCCATTGCGCTCTAGCCCAGGTAACAAGAGCAAAACTCCGTCTCAAAAAAAAGAAGAAGAAGAAGAAGAAGCAGCTAGTGCCTGGCATGCTGTGAATCATTAATGATTAATGATAAAAGATTCAGCCTGGGAAAGAGTAGTGATTGCTCTCCCGAGTCCAGGAGGTTGGCCCTGGCATGGTACAAACAGGTTCAAAACAAAGGGCTGGAGACATCTGTGATGCTGACTCGAATTTTTTGCTGGGGATAACGTCTGTTCCAAAGTCCAGAATTTCTCAGTGCCCCCATCTGACAGCTCCAGCTTGGAGGCTTCTAATACTATTCATTAAAGATAGACTCTAATGGCAACTCAGACAGGTCTCTTACAGAGGTAAGGGCCCTGCACCCCTCTTAGGGAGTCATTGGGATTTGGAATTGCACTGGCTGGAGGCCCTTCCCATGGAATAGGATTTGATCCATCCAAATAAATGGCTCTACAGGGTTAGCCTCACGGGCTTAGCCATCTGTTTCCACGATTACCAGGAGATAGGTATTCAGGAAGCCCCAAAGGGAAAAAATGGCAGGCTGACTGCCCAGAAGACCAAAGAACCAGGAGAGTGTTCATTCGGGTCTGGCTCTGGTGATGAGCTTCAGGAGATTCCTAGGGCAATCCTGTCGATGGTGGCAACTCAGTGTTCATCCTGTGTCCGAAGCATTACTGAAACTTTGATACTACAAGAACCATCCTTCCGCCTTACTTCTGAAGGCTTGGGCTGAACTACTCCTCAGGTAAGAGAAAAATTGCAAGCTGTTGACTTTCCCAAAGTCCAATAGTGCCTAAATCCTCAGGATACTTCTTGGTGAGTTGGTTTATCCCTTTACCTTATGGCAGAGGGCAGTTAAAAATTGTTTTATTTCACCCAGAGCTCTGAGATTTTTAGATTCTAATGAGTTGAATAGGGGTGGTCAGGCTGGCTCCACAGACTTAAATATTATTACTGGAGGAAAGCGGAGCTGCCTTCAGATTTCTCTGGAACCAAAATGCTTTCTCTTGCGGCCCTGATAAGATTACCGGGCTGCTGAGCCGCCAGTGTTCAGATTTCCCACGGAACCGCGCTCGCCAAGCTCTGGCTGGCCATGCTATGAGGAGCCACGCTGCGGATCAGGCTCTGAAACCCGACTCCTTTCCAGGAATGCACACTCACCCCCTCCTGTGATAGGGCCTGGGCTGGGCCCTTAAAGTCTCACTCCCCAAATTCCCCCTGTCGTCGCAGTCCAACAAATGGAAGATGTCTGCTGAGTGGGGGCCAGTGTGACAGTGAGGGTCCCACAGAGCACGTGGGAGCCAGAGAAGAATGTGGGGTATTTTGGCATGCCGCAAGTCCACCGAGCCAAACTCTAGCTTTAGAGGCTGTGCAATTCCTAATTACGGCCGATCAGCTCCAACCAGCAGCCAACATATGGCTCAGGGAGAGGGTGGGTGGGTCAAAACACAGCGAGGCCGTGGGTGTTTCTCCTAGTGTTTCACGGTGAAATATCAAAATAATCTTTTTAAGACTTGGATTCGTTACATGTTTCTCTTCTATCTCCTAGCCCCATAATTTAAAAAAAAATGTGGTAGAAAATGTTTACTGAAGTAAAAAGATACGGATGAAAAAGTAGGTTACAAAACGAACACATCATATACACCAATATGTACACACATACATGCACGCACACACACACAGACTCTCATCAGAGTAATACTGACAGTCTGTGAGAATGAAAAGACATGAGAGCTCCATAATTTTTAAGTAACATTTAAAATACAAGATCCAGTATGTAATAAGGGCCCAATAAATACTGAGATTTGCAGTTACCCCAGAGAAAATGATTCATTTATTGACTCCACCTAAGTTAGAAATTCATGATTTTATCAGTGCCATGATGTGCCTACAATTTAGTTGAACAAACAAAGGATTTAGTCAGTGAAAATTATACTTTTTTTCAAGTGACCTCAGGCTATTGGCAGTGCACACAATTTATATTTAAGCGACCAAGAATATTAATTTAAATGTGACATCCTACGCCTCCAGCTCCTTCTTTACACACTTCTGTCCTCTGGGTTCCTATCCACAATAACATCACCTATTATCTCTTCTAGAAGAGAATCACATTTATAACATAACAGGTTTGTATTTCTTAGGGAGTGGTGGATATTCTGCTTAGAACAATCAAAACCAACATATCTAAACCCTGCTTGTCAAAAAAAAACCATGATCTTTCTACCGTCTTCAATATTTGCTCATGCAACAAGCCTTTCTTGATGCCATTAGGCTCTAAACGTGTAAGACATGGCCCCTGCCCTCAAGGAGCCTTCCAGGGTGACAGTCAGGGAGGCTGACAGTTCCAGTTCTGCCTAGTGTTCTGATAGTGGCTTGAGCAAAGTGCTCTGAGAGTGCTGGGGGCATCACAGAGGTTTCCAGAGGTGGAGACGTTTGAGCTACAGACCGAGAGGGGAAGGAGTTCCTTATTTCTGCTAATCATTTATTAAGCAAACTTTTATTGAGAAATTATATGACTATATGCCAGGCACTGTGCTCATTCTGGAGACTCAAAGACCAGTGAGACAATCCCTGCCTGCAAAAGGCTTTGTATGGAGCTATAAAAGTTGGTACTGCCATTTTCCCTGGCACCATAGAGAACTTCACTCTTCTGGGCAGCTTGGTGACTTCTGACTTCCCTTCCAGCACATGGTCTTTACTCTTTTCCACTCTCTCCATTCTTATTGTATCCCGAAGTCAGAATATACCTGGACTCAAAAAGATGCTTTCTCCCCTGGTTCCCTTGCTCACTCCATGAACTGGCATTTTTGCTGTATCATCCCTGCTACATCACTGCTGCCAGCTGCCTCAACACCTCTCAGAGTTTCCTACTGTCCATGGAGCAGAATCCAGGGCCATACACCTCTGGCCTTCAAGGGTTGCAGATGGCCTCTGCATGAATTAGAAAAAGCCACCCAACAAACAACCCCATCAAAAAGTGGGCAAAGGATATGAACAGACATTTCTCAAAAGAAGACATTCATACAGCCAACAGACATATGAAAAAATGCTCATCATCACTGGCCATCAGAGAAATGCAAATCAAAACCACAATGAGATACCATCTCACACCAGTTAGAATGGCGAGCATTAAAAAGTCAGGAAACAACAGGTGCTGGAGAGGATGTGGAGAAATAGGAACGCTTTTACACTGTCGGTGGGATTGTAAACTAGTTCAACCATTATGGAAAACAGTATGGCGATTCCTCAAGGATCTAGAACTAGATATACCATATGACCCAGCCATCCCATTACTGGGTATATACCCAAAGGATTATAAATTATGCTGCTATAAAGACACATGCACACGTATGTTTATTGCAGCACTATTCACAATAGCAAAGACTTGGAATCAACCCAAATGTCCATCAGTGACAGATTGGATTAAGAAAATGTGGCACATATACACCATGGAATACTATGCAGCCATAAAAAAGGATGAGTTTGTGTCCTTTGTAGGGACATGGATGCAGCTGGAAACCATCATTCTTAGCAAACTATCACAAGAACAGAAAACCAAACACCGCATGTTCTCACTCATAGGTGGGAACTGAACAATGAGATCACTTGGACACAGGAAGGGGAACATCACACACCGGGGCCTATCATGGGGAGGGGGGAGGGGGGAGGGGGGAGGGATTGCATTGGGAGTTATACCAGATGTAAATGACGAGTTGATGGGTGCAGCACAGCAACATGGCACAAGTATACATATGTAACAAACCTGCACGTTATGCACATGTACCCTACAACTTAAAGTATAATAATAATAAATAAATTAAAGAAAAAAAAAAAAAAAGAAAAAGCCACCCGTGTGAGGCTCAACTAGGCAAGGAGATTTTGTATGAACAAAAAGTAACCTTTTCCTTCAAGTGATTTGGATTTCAGCTCCCACTCACCCACTTAGCTGGGCATCTACTATACTCAGTGACCTTGGATTTATCTTAATACTTTCATTTTTTTCTGTTACTGCTTTCCTACCTTCCTTCCCAGCCGGTTGGACAAAGCTGGCATGTTCTCCCTGTGCCCATTCCTTATACCTTCTCCTCCTCACCCACATCTTTCTTCCAAGGCTTCTTCTGAACCTAATCTAGTCTAAACTCCTGCAGAACTCATGATCTGCAGCAGTATTCAACTGGCACTTATGCATTTGAAGATTATGTATATGACAGGATATAGTCAGTCTCATTCCCTTTATTGGGTTGTGAGCTTTTAAAAGGCAGGGATCAGATGGCATCTATACTTTGTTTATTCCAGAGGGCTTTATGAGGGCTGAAGTAATGATTGATGTTGTTGATAATGGTAACAGTGACTTTAAAAAAAGATCTCTCAAAGACTTCCAATGGGTACATGAGCTTTAGAGAATGAATGTTGAGTAACCCTTGTTGGTCTGGTTTGGATTCCTAATACTGAGAAGTAACATAACTTCATTTCTTTCCATATACAGTAGCCCTTTCATGTCCGAAAAGTGAGTTTCACCTCTCAAAAGAGGGTTTTACTCTGAGATTTTCAGAAACCCCCAAGTCCCACTCCTGCATAACATGCTTCACCATGAAAAGTTTACTTCCTGGCTAAGAATTGTCACTTCCCTGGCCCCTAGTTTTCCTTTTTACTTTCTTCACTAGCAGTTGCAGGGTTTTTTTGTTTTTTTGTTCCCCCCCCCCAGGCATTTTGACAAAGAAACTTCAAAAGCAGCCACTGTCCAACCAATAAATTGACACCCTGCAATAGATGCAGGGTGATTTGTCAGGCCTCTGGCTGGCTGAGCGATTCCCTCCCGTGTCCCTCCCAAATCCTAGCACGGGAGTGATTTTGGTATCTTGTGGAATCCTGCATAAGTTACTAAACATCTCAATAAGGAAGGGCCTTCTCTTTTTTTGCAATCCCCTCCACCCCCCAAGCCACACAGGAAGTTGCTCAGCTGATAGTTTCAGTGCCTCTGCCATACACTATCCCTTCCTCAACTGAGGGGGGACAAAGTGCCTCTGTGGAAGGAGACCCTCCTTGTTTTCCTAGAACAAAGTTGACACTTGCATTTGGCCCTCCAGTAGCAACCTGCTTGAAGTCTAAGAGTTGCTTTCCTCTTATCTCCAATCCGTTTCTTCAAGAGGTTAGACAGGTCATACATCATAGTGAACCTGCAGCCTGGGGCCTAAGGCACTTCGTACACTTCCAGAAGAGGGAAACCACTTCTAAAACAATATCTTAAGGAGCCTTCACCCAACCCAAGAAGCTGGGCGTTGCCTGGGCCATTTCCCTCCTCTGCCCTGAAGCAGTGGCCAGCTCAGAGAGAACCCTGTTGTTTTGTGCTTGTGTGATCTTTGGGTGGATGTGTGCACACCACCTGCTGAGCTTCGCTGTGTGCGTGCCTCACCCCCAGCCCTAATCTGCCTGAGCTTCCTGGCCTTGCAAATGTTTCTATGGAGGGTCCATCTTAGACTCCAGTGGTTCTTGCACTCTATAAAGTCTCCTTGAATGTAATTCCCTGTTCCTTGAAGACAACTGGTTGGGCTGGATGCCTGGATACAGCTCCGTGATTTCTCTAAAGTACAAATTTATTGCCCCTTTAGAGAAGTCATGAAGCTTTGCCGGCAAGCACAGTCTAGCTTAGAAAAGACAACCAGGACCAGGAGTGGTGTGGCTCATGCCTGCAAATCCAGCACTTTGGGAAGCCAAGGCTTAGAGGATCACTTGAGCCCAGGAGTT